TTTAAATGCAAATTTAATATATTGGTAACCAAAAGTAATATTCCACAAAAAACAATTTAAATATGAAAGTAGGCCAAGGTTAAAGTTTTTCAAAGTAGGTAAATCCTCAAGGTCAAATCATTGATATCCAGTGAAAAGGGCTTGCCACAAAAAAATCATATGAAAGTATGGGAACCTTAGTCCTAACCGTTAGAAGTTATGGAGAATTAAAAATTTTAAAAAGTAGGTCAAACTCCAAAATCAAAGGTCTTGCTATCAAATCAAAGGTTTTTCATAAGGATTACATATATAAAGTATGAAAGCAATAGGTCTAACCCTTTAGAAGGACTAGTCAAGGTTTACTTTTTAAAAAGGTTTAAAAATTGAAGGTCCAAGGTCAAATTATGGTATTAATTAAGGGTCTTTTCACAAGGATTACATAAGTGAAGTATGATATCACTAGCCCTTCGTGTTCAAAAGTTATGGCCAAGATTAAAGTTTTTTTGACCCGCATCAAAAATCCTTTGGATATTGTTTTTTCCCGTCTGTTGTTGTTTATCTGTTTGTCTGTTGAACTTAAACCCTTTGCCATAACTTTTGAACCATGAATGGTTGAGACTGTATGTTTGGTATGCATACACCACTAATTAAGCTCTCTTAAATGGCAAATAACAATACCTTTTGACCTTGATTGTGACCTACAGTGTATACGTTAAATATAATTTTTTTTTTTAAATATTAACCTTCGCCATAACGTTTAACAAAAAAAAAGACCTAATATTTGGCATGATACTTCATAATGAAGCCCTTTCACATGACACCAAGGACAATGTTTGTGACCCTTACTATGCCCAATATGCTACATATAGCTTGTTTGGAAAAATAGAGATAGAAACTTCATATTTGGTATGATACTTCACTTACCAAATTCTTTTAAAACACCAAGAAAAAACCTTGTGACCTTGACTGAACCTAATTGCTAAAAAAATGTTTTTTTAAGGTTTGTTGCCGGGAGGAGATTGGTTTCCAAAAACATTTTCTCATAAGTACAAAAAACTCCAACAAGGTAAAGTTCAAGGTAACTGGGATCACATGAAATGCCTTGTCACATAGAAACAAAGAAAGTATGAAACTTTAGCCTTTACCGTTTAAAATTATGGGCAAGGTTAAAAAAATTAAAAGTAGGTCAAAATCCAATCAAGGTCAAAGGGTAAAATCTGCTATCAAAAGAAAGGTCTTTTCAAAAGGGCTAAAGAAAGAAAAAACAGACCTAACCCCTTTAAAAAGGGTCGGGTTTGGTTTTAAAAAAGGTCAAACTTAAAGGGAAAATCAAAAAGTCAATCTTATTATTTTCAAAACAAAGGATTTCAAAAAAAATGCATTTTTGAAGATAAATGTCCTGGTATCTACTGTTAAAAATATGTTCAAAAAAAAAGTTTAAATTTTTGTGTAAAAGGGGGCAAAATAAGGTCAAGGTAAAAAAGGGCAAATTTAGTGGTACATAAAGAAAGTTTTGTCAAAAAAGCAATTTGCAATATGTAAAAAGATTCTGTGAGGGGTATACTTTTAACATCAAAATTTTCAAATTTAACTTATGATGTAAACTTCTAAAAATAAAAAAAATATAAAAACATATGCAAAAAAATTTGGGTTTTTCAAACAATATGCGCCCTGTGGCAAAAATTAAAAAAAATATTTTTAGTTAAAAAACAAAAAAATTTTTCATAAACATATATTCCATTGAAGTGAAAAAAAAAAAAAAGAGAATACTGGTAACCCATTTTTGGGGCCTTTAGACCTTTTTAATGTTTTTATGTCATTTGGGTTAAGAAAAAATAAAAAATAAAAATAAAAATGCACCCAGCCATATCAACCAAACCTTTGCTTAAAGGCATGCGCCCAGCCACAAAGGACAATTCTAACTTCCTGGTTAACAAGATGTTCCGTCCTAAATTTTTAAAACACATTAATGTATAATAAAATTATTTTTGTAAAAAAATTATTTGGATTGGTTTAATTTTAAAAATAGAATTATTATTTAATGGGATAAATCATCCAGTTTATTTTTTTTAAAAATTTTAAAAATGTGGGTTTAGTTTGAAAATTTGTTAAACAACGTAACATTTCTAAGTAGAGGACACACGGGGACAAGGGCCCCTCTCCCTTCCCCGGAATCTTTGGTTAACATTAAAGAAAGGGTATAATACCCCCTTTTTCCAGTTTTTTAAAAAAGCTGAAAAACATCAAAATTCAAAATTGTAAGGCCTTTCCAAGCCCCGGGCCCTTTTTAAATTTAAAGGGGGGTTTTAAACCCCAACCATCCCCAGTTAAAATGGTTCATTTAAAATGGAAAAATGAATATTAAAAAATCCCCAGCATTATACCACTTGGTGGGGCCACTACAGCCCCTTTTAAAGTGGGAAATAATCCCCCTGCCCCTTTGCCCCGGGGAATTTTTTTGGTTAAAATTAAAATAAAAGGGATAAACTGCCCTTTTCCAAAATTCATAAAAAATTTATAAAACATCAAAGTTAAGGAACAGGCCCTTTCCAGCCCCTGGGCCCTTTGAAACCTTTGAGAGGGGATACCCCCTAAGACCCTTCCCATCCCCAGTAAAAAAAATTGTTCCCGGGTTTCCCAAAATGGAGGACAAATGAAGCTTAAAAATGCCCCACGCACTTGCACCACTTGGTGGGACACACCCCATTTAAAAAAAAAGCCCCCCCAAGGGCCCCCCTCCCCTCCCCTTCATTTGGTGAACACCAAAATTAGGCTATAATATCTGCCTGTAAATTAAAAATGCTTTTTTTTCACCCTTTGGACCAAGCCCTAATTACTATTGCTTTTTAGTTTTTAAATTTTTAAGTTTTCCCAAAATATTGCTTGACAGCTACTTCAACGTACATGGAGTTTACACTCGTGCCATCTTTCGGTAATTTAAAATCGTTAGAGTAACCAAATATCAGGTTAGCTTATTAGCCCTTTCGTATTCTTGAGGTCCTTGAAAGAGTTGAAATTCTTCCCGGGAGGAGTTTCCTGGTGCTTGTTTGGTCAAGTTGATTATGATATGATAAAATAATTTATTTCTGATTTTTTAAGTTTTAAAAAGAATATTTTTTATGCAGGTGAGCCTTACTGCCTCCGAGTGTCTGATTTATTATTTAATTATTTGTTGCATTAAATATCCATTTTTTTTTCTTTAATTGGCTGAAATTAGGTACAAAAACAGCAATGCGTCTAGGTACTCTCAGTTCTTTGATGAATTTCCTTATTGGCTGCTAGCTTTACGGGCTTAGTGGCTCCTGTTATTGGCTGCTATCTTCAGCCTGGTTTTGAAATAATTGTAGAGTTTGATTTAACATGCACGCCCTATTCAGACCTCTATTTAAAGGATTTTTCTTTTCTACACTTTCGCTATGAATTTTACCCTGAACGCATATTATGTGCATATAATGATAAGTAAAAAAATGGTAATAATAATCATAGAAGTAATAATTTTGAATATCTGCTATTATAAAACATACTGTATGCAGAGTTTCTATGTTGAACTAAATATTGCAGGAATAAAGGGGTTTGCTTGTTTACAATTTTGAAAAACCATTGACCATTGTTCTCATACATAATAAGTTCTTGGGTAGTTATTTCGAATAAATCGTAGTGCTCGCTCTTGATTTTTTTTCCGCTATTAATTTTTACTGGATTTATGCGATTGATCGCTGTTTATCAAATCATATATTATGAAATATTAAGCATTTGTGTTAGACATTAAAAGAGGTATGTTGGTAAAATAGGTGTGCACCTGATATCCTCTCTTATATTTTGTAGGTCCATACAATTTGTATTGGTTCAAAAACCGTTTGAGCTTTCTAACTGTTCATCATCTTCGTCTTCCATAAAAAGAGTACTTGTTTCCATTGTTAATGAGGAAATTTTATTTTGACTATTTAGCCTGAACGCTTTCCAAATGTAGTAAAAGTTAGATATTAGAGAGTTTCCGCACTGTTACTTGTATACTGTTCGTAGTTTCAATATTTTTCTCATGGAAGTAAACTACATAAGAAATATTTTCACAATGAATTGTCGACGATTTTTTCACGTTATTTCTAGATATCTTGATCATGACAAGGCATACACGGTGGGTATGTTTGTGTGTTTGTATGTTGTTTAACGTTCCTCTCGAGAAATTTTCACTCATATGGAGGCGCCATCACTTGTCAGTGGAGAGATGCAAATTTTGTCCTATACTAGGCAATCAGGGGCATTGAGCATTGATGGGTCTTTTTTGTGCCAGCATTTACTGCGACACGGTACCTCAATTTAAACAGTCTCATCCGAAGGAACGGTATCCAAGTCTCACAATGGCATTCGAACCCTCGACATAAGGATCAACTCCTTTCTTCGCGACTCTAGAGCAGACCGTCTAACCACTGCATCACGAGCGCGACCACACGATGGGTATGACCGATCGGCAGGGGCTCCCTTTTCCGTGGCACCTGATCCCACCTTTGATATTTTGCAAGTCTGCGGTTGCTCTGCACCAAATTTGTATTGTTTGAAGGTTTACTGAGCTTAATTACTGTTATTATCCTCCTTATATTTAATTCATAATGCTCTTGTTTTGTCCCCAGACATCAAACAACATAGAATACTACCTCTTAAAATTTTCGCGAGACAAATGTTTTGCTATCTTGGCATTATATCTTTGTTTTGTTTTTGTTTTTTGTTTTTCAGGAAAAAGACGAATTATTAGCTGAAGTGTCTAATTTTCGGATTAAGGGCGGAGTGAAATATCTAAACTGTATGTTACTTGGCCAAGCTGCTTCTGGAAAAACCTCATTTTTCAATACATGTGCTACAGCCCTCAAGGATGAAAAAAGAGTTCTGGCTCCGCTAGCAGTCTATAAGCCATCTGGAGGAGTGTTACCTCAACTGTATGTATTTTTACATGCACAAGGTATTTGATATGAATTTATTTAACATGAATAAAAATGATTTTTACATTAAGAATGTTGTAGTTTGAGACCCACCCATTATTTACAAAGGATGACAAAATATTGCCACTAAGAATATTTGATTGTCGTGGTCTGCACAATGTAAGTGGAGTGACGCCAGAGGATATTCAATTAATGGTTATAGGCCATGTCAAAAGTGGATATCAGGTACAAATAAATTTTCCTGAGCATCAAATTATACTTATATCGGTTTTTTGGCAAATTTTTTATTTTCAGATGTAAAATTTCACAGGTCGTATGACTATGTTGGGGAAGTTTGCTCAGCTGGCCGATAGATGAGGTCAGGTAGAGAACGTTTGACCAAATGAACTGTAACGTTTGTTACCACGGTAATTTTCTTTTATCCAACCATTTGGAATTCTTTTATTGTTCCAGCGTTAACCAATTCCTTTTCATTATATTTTCTGGGAAGTTGGAATTCTAAAATAAATCCATCAGTTAGTTAAGCTGATAACATTACGTTTGGCAATACAATGGCATAGTGTTACCATACATGTTCTGTTAAGAGGATATTTTTTATGGTCCAATACTCGCCCAACAGTATTACAGTGGTCAGTAAATTATGACATATGGTCTTTTGATTAATACAGACGGTTCACGGCGTGTGTGACTGTTTGACAGAGATTGCTTACTCCTTTTACTCCTTTTAGGCACTTCATCTGGTGAATCCAGAGGCCAGTGTCCTCAAAATCATTTTTGCACTCTTCATCATTTTAATAGGGCTGGGTGGTTATGGCCATTTTTTAAACCACATTGATCGCATTTAGATGATCAATATATATAATATATATATATATATATATATATATATATATATATATATATATATATATATATACAAAAATTGTCAAATTTTAGAATTTTCTTTGCCAATAATAGTTGAACGGTAAAAATATCACATCTAAACGTTCTGTTATATCTGATGGTTAATTTGTTGACCCCCTAGCCTCCCTAAAGCTTAATGGTTGACACTATTTTTGTTACAATTATAGATAAACCCAGTTGCATCAATACAAAGTGACCATGCAAAATATCGATCTCAGCCAAATATAGGGGACAGGATCCATTGTCTCATATACGTTGTTAACGCTGACAATCCACAGTCAGCGTTGGCTGATGAATCGGCTGTGGAGATTTTCAAAAGAATGCGAGAACTATTGGCACCATTAAGTGAGTGTTTTCTCTTAACTTTTACATTTCCCGTAATACATAATCTCTTGACTATTTTAAATTATAGATAAACTTAAACTTTTCTTCAGTAAAGATGAACAATGAAATTAATTCATAAATACGTCACGATTGCACAGTCAATGTATGTTTTATTAGATGTACCACAGCTTGTTTTGATGAACAAGGTCGACAGGCTCCGGGCATCGTTGTCGGATGACATTTCTCAGATCTTCAGAAGTGAAGAGGTATATAGGAAGTTTAAAGTCGTTGCTGATTTCATGCAACTTCCTGACATGAATGTCTTGCCGATGTCCAATTACCATGATGAGACTAACCCTGATCCTAAGAAAGATGTATTAGCATTGTCAAATCTTAAAATGATGATGGACAGAGCCAACGACTTTTTGCAGAGACAAGACACAAGCAGTGCACCTGAAGATTTTTATGATTGATTAGAAATAAATATTAAGAAGATTTTCACTTGGCAAAAAATGTACCAAATATGTCAGATAAGACAGAAAACTTTATAAATGTCTGAAAATAAAAGACATATATTTGTTAATGTTATTCGACCTTATATATTGTCTGTTGTGAAACAATGCAATTTTACAAGATTAAATATTGGACTAAATTTGATGATTGGACGAATTCATAAAATTAAAAGATGTATCATTTATTTAAAATTATTGATATATGTATAGTTTCATTGGTGAGAATAACGCTTCACGTTCTTCAGAGATAAAGTATGTACTTGAAATACAAACAAAAGGTGTTTTTGTGATTTTTTTTTCCCCAAATTCACGTCTATTTTTTTTCCTAGGCATATCAGGTAAATTATCCTCGTTTTACTTATTTTATTTTTAGCAGAGGTTGTTAATTTGATGTTTGATTCTGAAAAATCGAAAAAATCTCTTGAATAAATCATATATATATATTAAATAGTATCAGTCGGCTGTAAACAATACGTTTTAATAGCATTACGAAAAATTATGCAAGTTTTAAACAAGTTCATTGTTAAAGGATGCATAAAGATTTGATTGAGGTAGAAAAGAAATTAATTAAATAGAAAAAACAATGAAACATATGAATGAATAATTCGTTTGAAATCAGTCTGAATCATTTTTTCCAAAAAAAAAAATAAATAAAAATAAAATAATAATAATAAAAATAAAAACTTTTCGGTATGAAAAGCTTATATATAATTCAACATTTTTCATGGCAAGCATCAAACCGACCAGAAAAAAGAACTAGGGTCATTTTTTTGCATAAAAGGGTCCTGTTCTTATATCAATTAATTGACTGTCAATCGCTGTCCATTTTCACGTATCAAAATAAAGAAGAGACAGTGCTTTCATTTTCAAAATTACCTTTTGAAAATTTGGTATTGGAAAACAGTCTTTGTAAAAATGCACAGCCCTCGATCAAAATTTTAAACAGTCATATATTATAATCTTCGGAGAAAGCTCTTTCGTTATGTAATTACATATTTTGGATCTAAGGTTGTGTTCTTTATGAAATATTGAAAGTTTACTTCAACGTTTGGCCAATTTTAACAAAATTTACAGGATATTGTGAAAATGACGTATTTCCTGACGTCATAATGCGTTGACTAGAGAGAAGATTACGTCATGCTCAATAGATACGTGGACACCAAGGGTCCTACGGATAAATACTGCATTGTCAACCATACCTAGCAGTTTTGATTTCGGAAATTCACAGGGCCAAAAATGGCTTTATATGGCCTTTGCTCTTTTAATCTTTTTTTTTAAAAAAAAAAACACAATGTGCAGGGAACACAATATTTTCAAATTTGAAAGCAGTGGTATTTTTAATTCTAATTGAAAACATATTAGTAAATCAAAAATAGACACATTATACTTTATTTATAAATATATACTTGTCAAAATTTCTAAGTCCCACTTTTATCATTTTAAGTATTTAAAAACCTTAACATTAATTAACTAGTTGTTCACAATTTTGACTAAATTTTTCGACGATTGCCTGTTACGACCAAATAAAATTGAAATCGAATGTGTAATTACTCATCCATGACCCTTTTTGTTAAAAAGCATGAAGTGCAAGTTTCATATGTTTTCGGGTGTATCTTCCATTTATTTAAATTGCCATGTGTTCTCCATGTTTAGTTGTTTAGGAAAAACAGAAAAAAGCTTTTTTTAAAATGCCGTGTATGTACGGACGACAATGTGCAAGTGAAGTTGCCATGGTCCAAGCTGATGGTAGTAAAGGAAAGTTGTATTTCCTTCGTTTGTATTTGTTTATTTTATGTAAAACCGTTTAAAATACCGTCAGGAAGATGCACAAAGCTTATTGTATTCCTTATAATCATTAAAAATTGCTAGATTTTCAAGAAATACCACCTAACCCCCTTAGAGTTTATCCGGAAATTCACTCAAACCGGAACCGGAAGTACCCATGGTCAAAGCTTAAACACGTACTGCAACGACACATCAACAGGGCTACTACATTAGAATTACTAACTATTGAGGAAGGAACCTATCTGCACGTGCAATTGCTCTGCACTCATTAAAAATTAATTCAAGTCTCCTGAATTATCCAGATTATTAGAAACAAACTGGAAAGGTGGGGAATGCGTTTAAGAAGACCTTATGTATTTGTAGGATTAATAATTGGGTACAAACAATTTCGGTAAGCTTCAATGTCATCCACATCTTAATTAACCCTATAGAAAATGAATGGGACAAGATGGACCAGAGATTGAGCGCTTTTCCAGCCGCAGAATCTGGCGAAATATAGAGGACGAACTAGTTCATGCATGGAATAACCTTCCAAAAAGATTTTTTTTAATTGTTTAAACTCTTTGAGAAGCAATTGTCTTGATCTTAATTCGTTTGCACGGAGGATAGAAACAGTATTGAACGTTGCGAATTTTTAATTCTAGGGTACCTTCACTCCTCTGCATTTTGTGTTAAAGTCCTTCAATATAATTAAATTTTAAAGTGAAAAAATATTTTGCTTCATTTAATCTTGTATAGTTTTCAATTTATACTGTCTGAATTATTTATTATAAAAGCAGTGTAAAACAAAAACTTAAGTGGGGACTTAGAAATTTTGATTAGTATATTTTAATTTCTAAAATAAATTAATTCTTCTACATGATAATCAATGTTAAAAGAAATGAATGCATCATCTCCTTAATGAAATAGTTATTTAATAATTATCAAACGAAGTATGACCCCCCAAAAACATGAATTCAATTAAAAATTTAACAAATCATATTCCTGGTGATGTTTGGTTCAAGATTCCGATTTGATAAAGTCAAAAATGAGATTTTAATAAAATCACAGAAAATAAAAAATAGATTAAGACAATTTCTGTTACAGATTCTGTGTTTACTGAAATTTTTGGCAATGTGAATGCAAGGTACGACTGATTTTACCCATACTGCATGGTCAATAATAAGTTATTTTATGTTTTAGTTATGAAAAAAGAACCTTAAGTTAAAACTGTTTGCAGTCGTTTCGTGTTATTCAAAGCTTAAACGTACGTCTACTTCCACAATTGACTTCTAAAGTGAAATATGCATGCCCATACACAGAGTATTCTTTTAGCATTGAAAAGACACAGAGTAATCTTTTAGCAAAAGAAAAGTTATCCTTAAGATAACACAGGAATTTTGTAGATTTAAATTTTTCATACATTTAACAGAGTTTTAGGATAATCGTTTGGTATGATATCCTAGTTCTTAAGTCTCATTTAAAGAAGGATAATTAGATTCAAGTGTCCCTTACTCAGAGGTATAGTTATTACACATGATGTTGTTTTTTTTTACTTTAAGTGTTTAAACAATTGAGTCTTTGATAAGAAAAATCAATGGATCACTACGAAAAAAAAATATGTTGAGTTTCTTTGGGTGAAAGATGTTAAGATAGCATACACTGATCGATTTTATCAATCTTTTTTACAAATGCAAATTGTAAACAGGGCCAAAAGACAAGGATTTTTGTAATACCATACGTGAGTTCATATGGCAGATAAAAGAGAGAAGAAATACGCGAAGCCACCTGCTTAAGTACATATCTTATTTTGTGTGATAATTAAGATATAGACATGTAGATTCCTAAAAATCATGAACCCTCCAGTCTAGGAGAATGCCCAAAATAGCATTGATCAAATTATGTATATTTAAATCGAGAAATTAGTATGAAATCAACAATCGCACACTTTTTGAATGCCAAACATTTAAGAAAAGAAAGCAAAAATATATAAAAACAAAAACAGAAAACTCATACCCTACTAATCTTCGTTTGTTCATGAGTTCATGGGCTTTTTAACCATACAGAGACATAAGCCTAGTCATGACATCGGTCGTACAATAAACCTGCAATACACGACGTCTCTTTTGATTCATTACTACCTTAAGTAAAGCAAAAGTTAGATCTACATCATATTCGCACCAAACTTTACTCTGTCCCTTTGAAACTTTTAAATAGTCTTCTTGAAAAGGCCAAGGAAAGTCCAAATTTTTATTCTTTGACACCAGAATATAGGCTCGGATCTGTGATTATGGATATTGCAAATCATGGACTTTATAAACCCGCACGTTTTGCGGAAGAAACTGCAGATAAAACAATCCGTCTTTTCCTTAAATTTCAATATGCCAACAAAGGAATTGACGCGGTCAATGTAAGAAATATCACAAAAGGATTCAGTCTTGCATTCCACCATATTTCAATATAAAGACTTCACCATGATTCCTACAAATATACATTGCTTCCAAACTTTTCAATTACAAAAAACGTTTACATGGCCTGATACCAGTATCTGAAACATAATCCTCCATCGTGTTCATGTTCTTCTTCGCCCTATAACTATAGTCCTGCTGGAAGTTGTTAAAGATGACGTAAAAAGTTAATAATGAGGACCTTACATCACTTATTTTGAAAGGTCCTAAATACAGGAATCCTGATCCTTCAATGGCGTCGGAATTTCATAAATATTATGGATTCTGTTGAAAATTAGCAGACGACGGGCATCTCACTAAGATATTGACAGTAGTGAAGCAAAAACTTCAAGAGTACTGTGCAGCAATATATTCAAGAAGTGGTGTGAATCACATGTAGATACTGAAAAATTCCAAAGAACTCTTGAACAATTTGAAATCGCAAGTTTTTATGAAAATCAACAGCTTAAAAATTTACGATTTTCAAAACTTTTTTTTTTTTTTTTTTTTTTTTTTTTTTTTTTTTTTTTTTTTTTTTTTTTTTTTTTTTTTTTTTTTTTTTTTTTTTTTTTTTTTTTTTTTTTTTTTTTTTTTTTTTTTTTTTTTTTTTTTTTTTTTTTTTTTTTTTTTTTTTTTTTTTTTTTTTTTTTTTTTTTTTTTTTTTTTTTTTTTTTTTTTTTTTTTTTTTTTTTTTTTTTTTTTTTTTTTTTTTTTTTTTTTTTTTTTTTTTTTTTTTTTTTTTTTTTTTTTTTTTTT